CTTGAGCCCAGGAGTTTGAGGTTGCTGTGAGCTAGGCTGACGCCACGGCACTCTAGCCTGGGCAACACAGTGAGACTCTGTCTCAAAAAAAAAAAAGGAAATAAAAACAACAAAGTGAGCAAATGATCTGCAACTCATGTAAGAATATGCTATATTACCTATGTGTTTAAAAACTCATAAATCAATAGGAAAAAGATGAATAATCCAACAGATGAGCTGAGGATATAAAAAGCAATTCATAAAAGAAGAATGATTGATGCTATGAGGGAAAATATGCAACCTTGTTAACAATTAAAAAAAATTTTTAGTGTGATACTTTTGGCCTAGCAAATTAGCACCAATTAAACAAATTAAAATATGAAGAGCCAGAATGAGTATGGAGAAATAGCAACTCTCATGCACTGCCGCCAGAAGTGTAAATGGCTACAGATTTATTTAGAGGTCAACTTAGCATATGTATCAAAGGCTTAGGAGTGTAAGCCCTAAACCTGGCAGTTGGGCCACTTGTCCTAAAAAACAAAAATACCCCAAAATAACACAAGTCCAAGTGTAGCTATAAAAACTGGTCATTTCAGTGATGTCTGGAAGAACTGGGAACAACCCAAATGTCGACCAAGTATGGAACATCCACAACTAGGAATATTTTGCAGCCATTAAAGTCATCATAGGAGAAAAGTTACAGTGTGGAAAAACATTCATGTATTAAGTTTAAAGAGCAGTTTACATATGTGTAGTAGGATTTCATTTTTGTAGAAAGAAAAAAAAGGTGGATCACAAACACGTGCATGTACACACACACACACACACACACACACACACACGCAAGCAGGACCTAAAGGGCTTAACAGCCTGTAGAAAACTGGGACTATGGGTCTATAAATTTTTCTTTATTTTTGTCTGTTTCCTGATGTTTCTATAATGAATGTTTTTTTTTCTTTCTTTCCTTTTTTCTTTATTTTTGTCTGTTTCCTGATTAATAAATAATGAATGTTTTTTTTTCAGTTACAAAAAACAATGGTGATCTAGCACCTCTTATATTATCTTGGGTAGAGCCCATCCTCTGAAGTGAGGTATCATAAGAATGGAAGAATAAGCACCACATGTACTCGCCATCAAATTGGCACTAACGGACCATCACTAAGGCCTCAGGCTCCCAGACTGCTAGGACTGCAGGCATGAGCCATGTGCCCGGCCTTGTATTTGTTTTATAACAAGGAAAACTTTTAATTATTTTTAAATTAAAAAAAGATTAGAAAACTCCATGTATACTACAACGTCAACCATATTTAAACCACCTAGAAGACTGAGGAAAATTTTCCAAAACGTTAATTTCTGGATGGTAAAATATGAATTTTTTTTGTATATGCCCAATATTCCATATTAAGCATGTTATTTTTATACTGGGGTGATGGAAGGAATGGTGTTCCCAAAACAAGATAAAAAAGTTATTCTCCCATCTAAAACTCTTGAGATAGAACAGCCTTTCCCTACCCCTCTACCTCTAAGGGACAAATAACAAAAACACCTACAGGCATCAAATGTCCTTTAAAGAAAAGGCTTAATATTCAACATTGTCTCCCAACATAACTTTGTTAAAAACCATGAAGGACCAGAAACATTCCACTTTCTATTGCCTGTTCAGAAGTTGCTATGAAAAAAACTGACCAGTGAGAAGCCCTGCTGCATTGGCAGGCATGATGCCTGAGGGCCAAGCAGCAGACCATGGTGATTTATTTCCTCTCATTCTTCTGAAGATGGGGAGAGTCTCTGAGGACCAGCTGATACTGGTGGTAGAGTGCCAGGAAGGATGTTTCTATTTTTCAAACATACCTTAAGTAGCTCAGTATTTAAGAACTCAGGGTAGATGACTATGCAACCCCCAGAGGTAGATATAGGCCAGACTTTTCTCCCTATCATATCCAGGTCAGTACCATAGTCATCACCTACCTCTGACTGTTGCTCAGGAAGCTTCATATTGTCAAAAATCCGAAACACGATTCTGAACAGGTCCTGCCACCAGTGCTTTTCAAAGGTATGGCCATAGCTCTTCATGATCTCAAACATGACTGTGAGTCCTCTGGAGGTAACAAAGTCAGGCACAGAAGAGACAATGGGTGGGGGAAGAGAACAACAGAGAGTTGGAGAGAACAGGGCCAGGTGAGCAAGTGATTGAGGCTCATCTTAGCCATGTAAGGGGCCACCGCACTAGGGGCATGGTTACCTTGTCCGTACGTCTAACTTGCATCTATTAATGATGCAGGAGAGCTCAAATAAGATGGGGAACCAGCCTCGGACCCAGACTCTGTCGGCAGGAGCTACATTCATGTCATCACTTGTGTATTCTTGCAGCACCTAGGATGGAAATCACACCTCAGATGTAGGTTAAGCATGCAAAAGGAAAGAACTGAAAGGGAACTGTATAAATTTTAAGGCCCCACGCATATTCCTCTCCTAAAAATCTCCATTAAGCAAGGGTACAGTGAGGGCAGAGGACACAGAGACATTACCTGTCCCAAAAGGCACATGAAAAATTTCCCACTATAAACTTTGTGGGCCTTTGTGGATTTTAGAACAAGTTGAGCGGGATAGGTCACAAGGGTCCTGGGGGTGCGAAACGTTACATTAAGAACACTAAAGGTCAAACGGTGTTGGCAAATATCCAGGATGATTCATTACCTTAGGTCTTTCTGGAATGTTATTGTAATATATGTTATTTACAATAATAGCAGCAGCAGCTACTTTTTTTTTTTTTTTTTTGGTGAGACAGAGTCTTGTTCTATTGCCCAGGGTAGAGTACAGTGGCGTGATCATCACTTACCACAGCCCTCAACTCCTGGGCTTAAGCAATCCTCCTGCCTCAGCCTCCCAAGTAACTGGGACTACAGGCGTGCAGCACCATGCCTGGATAATTTTTCTTATTTTTTGTAGAGATAGTGTCTCGCTATGTTGCTCAGGCTGGTCTTGAACTCCTGGCCTCAAGTGATCCTCCTGCCTGGGCCTCCCTAAGCGCTAGGATTACAGGCATGAGCCACTGTGCCAGGCCCTAGCAGCTCTTGTTTACTGAGTGCTTGCTATGGGCCAGGAACTATTAAAGTGCTTTATATGGATTAACAATGTATGCCTCTTTTAGAAAGGTGAGATATAGCAACAAAATCCCAAACATTTTCAGGAGAAAACAAAAGGTGATTTTTAAATGTCATTTCTTAGGCACACCACAACGGCATAATGTCATTTCCTAAAAGGGTATTTGTTTTCTTTCAAATAGAAAGGTCCAGCTTCTTGAGCTTTGCTAAAATTCAGAAGTTACAATACTATTATCTTCTATAAAAACAATCTGTAGAATGTCAGTTCAGTACGAATAAAATAAATAATTTCATATACACAAAATAATGAAAAGGTGTAACCCTTGCAATGGCAGCATTCTGAAATAAACACCTAGTTTAGCGCACGCACATCTCTAAGAGTAGCTGGGAAGCTGTCTGTTCACTGCCCGGATGAGCAAGGAGGGAACACACATACCCGAGGCCTCTCGGAGACGTATTTCCCACAGAAGCGGATGAGCCGGATGGCTTCCATGCTCGTGTCGGGGAAAGCAGCGTTGCAGGCGAACTCCGACAAGCACTTCACAGCGTCCTGGAAGGAATCGATGGCTGCAGGGAAATGGTGCTGGAAAATAGTTGCTGGGGAAACACAAGGCACATTTTTATAAGACCGGGATTTAGGGACAGGGACGAAAACACACATGCAGATCAGAGATAATTATCCTTGTGAAATCTAAGAAAAGCATATCAGTATGTCTGGAAGACAGTTTTTCTTATTAAATTATTTATGAATGATTGTGTTGAATACAGATTGGGCTAAACTGGTTTCCTGAGCTCAAGCAATGATGTAAAGGCCCAAATATCCATTCATTCAACAAACATTTATTGAGTGCCAACTATGTGCAAAGATGACCCAGTGCTTTACAATTTCCACGAAGAACAAGTAAACATCTTGTTACATGATCACAGGCAGGACCAAGGACTCTCAGTCAGTCCAGGGTAGAGGGAGACACTGCACTAACTCTGGGCTGGACTGCCTGGGTACAAGTCCTGGCTCCACCACTTCCAAGCTATGTGACCTCAGGCAAGTTGCTCTATTTTACTTTTCTATGCCTCAATTTCCTCTTTGGTAAAATAGAGGAAACAATGGCACAGTCGGCTCTTGTTATTCACGACAGTTACATTTTATAAAGTCGCCGTGAACACTGAATTATCGAATACTGAACCAGTTCCTAGAGGAAATACGGAGTTAGGTTCATGCAAGTCTCTGGTTACAACATTCTCATCAACTGATCAATACATAACCCTGCTGTATGTGTGCTTCTGTTTAAAGACACCCCCTGTATTTAATGCACATAGTTGACTCATTAACATTAGACTCACAGCCAATAGCACTGTGACTCACGCCTGAAGGAAACTAATCGAACAAATGTATTTTCACATCACAGTCTTTCTGCATTTAGGATTATTAGCCAACACTCAGAAATTCACTTGGGGAGCATTTTAAACAGCAAAATCTCCAACAAAAAGCACAAACTGTGAAAAATATGGAGCTCAATAGACCAGAGAAAGCACACTCGTTTATGACATGACAGCTGAAAGAAGAAGGCAGAGTGTCACCTATTCCACCTCAGGTGGGAATGTGCACCTTGGGCGACTCAAGTGTTTTGCTGCTCTGCGCATGCACATGCCAGCGAATGACCACAACAGCACTGTGAGTATTGGTTGTGGAGCTGCAGCATGCACTTCAGTGAACAGGTGATTCTCAAACGTGGAATCTGTCAACGCTGAGGACTGACTGTATTTCCTTCACAGTCACTGGAGTGGCCTTGAGATTGCAAATTTGAATTTAAAATTTTATCTGGCTTAGAATAACATTCACCTTTGTCTGCTGGAGCCATACTGACTGATAATAGGAAAGACCACTTAGAGAAGGCAAGGAAAAAGTCAAAACAGATGAAATGAGGACTAATACATATCAAGTGCTTAGAACACTGCCTGGCACATTATCATGTGCTAGGTAATGAGCTAAAGTAAGGAAAAGAGGCAGCAAGTAAGTGACCACCCTTCTAGACTTGCAGGTGGGACGCTGCAGTGAGGGCACACGGCCACTTACTGACAATGTGGCCCGTGGTCTGGAAGGCCAGCTCCACAATGTTCCCATCGTGATCAGAGGCTGCCTGGTGGAACACGGCGAAAATGTTCTTCCAGCCTGAGCGGATGTTCGCTGCCTGGGAGTTCACCATCTGGGCAATGCAGCGGATCACCATGTCCCGGATGGTCGGAGACCTGAGGAAGAAATGGGGCAGCTGCGTCATCTGTACTTTGGAGAGTTGGGAGAAACGAACACGGCTCATTTCTTAGAAGCAGCATTTAAAAAAACCATTTTCTAAAGCACACAGTAATCCACATTCATTAAGGCTCTGCCACTTTTCCTCTCATTCCCATCCTGAACCCGGCACAATGCCTAGAGCTAGATCCACTACCCTGCAATCATGAAACAACAAACTCAAGGTTGAAAAGCTGACCCTTTGGATGACAGAACAAAGAGATGGAAAGAGCCTGGGTTTCCACTGACAACTTGGGCTATGGAACCAAAGCTGGGATGCCTGCCTCTGACTTCTTGTTATGTAAATAATGCACAGCCTTGTGGTTACTGTTGGTCAGTTTCTCTGGCCCAAAATATTTCAACTAATGTTTCTATAATTCTGCCACCCAGAGATAACCATTACTAAATTCTTCCTGTGTATCCTCTTAGATTTTTAGGCAGGAATATACATGTATGATCAACACATATATGTGGACTGGAGTATATATATATCATTTAAGATGTAATATTTTTGATTATTACAAAAGAAAACCTGAAGATAGAATGCATGGCATATTTTCTGAAATAGCTGCATGGTTAAACATGGTAACAGCTAAATACAGGCAATAGATTAGCATATATGTCTCACAATCTATTAAGACATACAATTACAGGGGAACTCTATTATCTTATAAATAGAAGAAGGTAAGCTATACAAATCTATTGTTTCTATAGTACTAGCTTTGAAAGTCAGTACAGTGGTCTTGGGATTACAGACTTGATTTTTAAATTTCATCGGTCTTAAAACAACATTCATGTTTGTCTTCTAGATGCATAACAACTCATAATAAGAAAGGTCATTTAGAGAAGGCAAGGAGAATGTCAAAAGAGTTAAAAAATCAGCTAAAAAGTCCACAAGATAAACATGCCACCTGCAGATAATGGAGGACTGACGACATACTCAGGTAACTTCGATACATAATAAAATTGAATTCATGGTTGCCTTCTCATGGGAAATTCAGCAACTTGTTGGCAAGAACTATATATAGTCATTAAAATGGTTTTTGCCTGATTGTTAAAAGCAGCATGTAATGATAGCAGAAATTCTGAAAAATGCAGAGAAAGTATAAGGAAAAAAAATTCCTTTACATGTGGTATTTTATATGGAGAGATACATTTCACTATATTGTACTCTTTGTCAAATTCTGTATCCTGCATTTTTCTCCAAATTAATAAGCATTTCCCACATTAGAAACATTGTGAACATTTTGTGTGTGTGTGAGACAGGGTCTTGCTGTGTTGCCTAGGTTAGAGTGCAGTGGCGCAATCATAGCTCACAGCAACCTCAAAATCCTGGGCTCAAGCAATCCTCCTGCCTCAGCCTCCTAAGTAGCTGGGACTACGGGTGTGTCCCACCATGCCCAGCTAATTGTGAAAATTTTTTGTAGAGATGGGGTCTTGTTGTGTTGCTCAGGCTGGTCTTGAAGTGCTGGCCTTAACCGATGCTGTCACCTAGGCCTCCTGAAGTGCTAGGATTATAGGTGCGAGCTGCCAGGCACAACCACTATGAACATTTCTAACAGCTGCACACACAATATCCCATGTTGTCGCTGTACCAACACTTACTTTAATATTTGTATATTTAGGTGGTTTCTGATTTTTTAAAAATTATTTATTTTTCAATCAGCTTTCTCTGGATGGATTAAAAAATCAGGATGAATCTGATTTTTTAAAAACCTATTTTGTGTGACTCACAATGCTTTATTGTATTTCAAATTAACTCCTTTGGAGAGTTACAGAAGTGTGGAATTACTCAGTCAAAGGGCACAAAAATATTAAAGTTCTTGACACATATCACCAAAATGCTTTTGGAAATGTGACAGCAAGTTACAGTTCCACCGACGGTGCCTGAGACTGACTGGCAATGTGCGCTTCTAAACTCACTCCACCCATTTTCAAACTGGCAGGCAACAGCAGGGGAGGCAGAGAAGGTCTGCAGCCAGGAGATGAGGGGTCCTGGCGCTACCAGTGTCAGCATGTGGTTTAGCCATGGGAGGCCTCTGTCTCCTCAGGCACTCTCAATGGTGTTCCCAAAGGCTGGAGAATATTTTTGTGCATTTGCTAAACTCAGGGGTGATGCCAGACTCCGGGCTTAATTTTGGTTCTCTTACAATAAGCAGTAAGGCAGAGAACAGAGACACCAGGAGAAAAAGATACATCCAGGAAACTGATGTTGCCCCTTCATTCACTACTTCAACAACCCACTCTCGCTTGAAGCCTGCCAGCTTGTGAGTTCTCATTTTCTTAAAAAAAAAAAAGAGATCCAGGCAGATCTGGAGTACACTTTTTAGGGGAGTAGAAAGACACAGGGGTGATGCCCAAAAGTCATCTTTGACACCTCTTCCTCTTACACTCCACAGCCAATTCATCAGCACACGTCTCAGGCTTCCCCTTCACGATGTGCACAGGGTCCAGTCCACCAACACTGCTCGCACCCTGGTCCAAACCTGGACAACTGTCATGGACTCCTAACTTATCCTATTGCTTCTCATTTTCCAAGAATAAATTCAGAGTGATCCTTTAAAATATGTCAGACCATTTTACTTCTTTGCTTAAAATCCTCCAACAGCTTCATCTCTCCCACACAGCAAGCCAATGTGCTTACAATGGCCATCAGTTCCTAAGTGACCTACATATCCTGCTACCACTGGAAAGGACTGCATCTTCTACGACTACCTGCCTCACTCTGTCCAGCCACACTGGCTTTCTTTTTTTTGAGACAGAGTCTGGCTCTGTTGCCTGGGCTAGAGTGCCATGGCATCAGCCTAGCTCACAGCAACTTCAAACTCCTGGGCTCAAGCGATCCTCCTGCCTCAGCCTCCCACATAGCTGGGACTATAGGCATGCGCCACCATGCTCGGCTACTTTTTTCTATATATTTTTAGTTGTCCAACTAATTTCTTTCTCTATTTTTAGTAGAGACGGGGTCTCGCTCTTGCTCAGGCTGGTCTTGAACTCCCGAGCTCAAACGATCCACCTTCCTCGGCCTCCCAGAGTGCTAGGATTACAGGCGTGAGCCATCACACCCAGCCCACACTGGCTTTCTAACTCCTGCCAAGCATCGCCTATCACAGGCCTTTTGCTCTTGCTCCTCCCCCTGTTCCTAACTCTCCTGCCAAGGGCTTGTTCTTCACTTCGTTCGGGCCTTTGCCTAAAGGTCACCTTACCGAACACACCTTCACTGACTGCCCTTTATAAAGGGGTGCTTCCACCCCTATCCCCTGACCTTGATCTAATGTTCTTCAGAGTACATTATCACTACCGATGTACTAAACATTTATTTATCTATTCCACTGGAATATAAACAGGGATTTGTTTTTTAATTTTATTATGAAAAATTTCAAACATAAAGTAAAGAGGATAGTGCAATGAACTCCTGTATACCCATCACAGCCAGCTGCAACTATTATCAATTCAAGGTGCAACAAAAACAGGGATTTTTAAACGTTTTCTTTATTGTGGTATTCTCTCTCTGCACTTAGAGTAGTATCAAGCAGATGGCAGGCCTCAATAAATAGAGGCCAAGTATATGAATGAACAGGATGGCTGCTTCGGAGGGACAGGTGTCCTGACCTCTTTATCACCTCCCTGGGGCAGCAATGCTGGGTCACATAATTCTTGTCCTTATTTGAGGATGGTTCAGCAGTGGTTCTTTCTCTAAACTCCCTCAGCACCAGCCCCAATAATGGTGCATGACATGTTTCTATTAGTGGCAGGGTGTCAACTGTCCTCCTAGTTACACAGAGATCTTAGTGGGATTTACTTCGGACAACTGATGTCAATCAGAGTCTGTTCATTCTATTTGCTTCCAGCAACAAGGGAAGAAAAAAATTAATCATGTGGTTAGTGCTAGGAGGGCTTTTTGGGCCCCCACAAGGGAATATGACTAAGGGTCTTCCAGAGCAAAGCACACACCTGTTTTTCTTCATAATATGCTCAAACGGCCTGAGAAAATCTTTCTGGAAACGGAAGTTGGCTAATTCACCCTTCTCAAGAAACTTCATGGAGAGTTGCCTTAATGAGTCAACAGCAAAGATAGCCACATCTTCATTGGGGTTACAGCCAACCTAAACAAGAACAGGAAGTGAGGTGAAACAGGAACAGTGTAACAATTACAGATGTGGGGCTCTGACCATCAAAGATGGATGGCCTATCTCCAAAACACACACTCTGGGAAAAAGACACCCAAGGAGAAAAGAAAATGCTATTTCGTGGCTATGATCTGCCCAATTTTATTTAAGGGTAATGATGAAAGATCAATGTTGAATATTTAATTAAAGGTGCTTTCAAAATGTGCCATTTTAATTTTTTTAATTATAAAATATACATAAGAAAAGCTACCATCTTAACCATTTTTTTTTTTTTTTTTTTTGAGACAGAGTCTCATTCTTTTTGCCCGGGCTAGAGTGAGTGCTGTGGCGTCAGCCTAGCTCACAGCAACCTCAAACTCCTGGGCTCAAGCAATCCTCCTGCCTCAGCCTCCCGAGTAGCTGGGACTACAGGCATGCGCCACCATGCCCGGCTAATTTTTTCTACATATTTTTAGTTGTCCAATTAATTTCTTTCTATTTTTAGTAGAGACGGGGTCTCGCTCTTGCTCAGGCTGGTCTCGAACTCCTGAGCTCAAACAATCCGCCTGTCTTGGCCTCCCAGAGTGCTAGGATTACAGTCGTGAGCCACCGCGCCCGGCCCATCTTAACCATTTTTAAGTGTACAGTTCAGTAGTACACATTCACACTATTGTGCAACCAATCTCCAGAATTCTTTTCATCTTGCAGAACTGAAACACTATACCCAGTAACCAACATCTCCCCAGGTGCTATTTAATTTTATCCAACTATATATGAGGAGTCAAAAGACTTCAGAGTCTATGGAAAGCCTTTTCATACTTTCTCAATGTCTGTCACTGAAAGCAAATGATTATAAAATAAACATCGACCTCGAAAAATTCTGCAGGAATATTTCCACAGAGGCTTTTCAATTTCCTTAAAAATTGTGCTTGTCTGTGGTTTACCTATTTTAGGAAGTAGAGTTATGGGTATATATTTGGTTGCTGCTTTTCAGACTTTTCCCTCAAGAAGAATCCCTAAAATCAGAGCAAGGGAATGTTTCCCACCAGCCCCCCTGCCAAGGGATCTGGGAGCATCTTGCAGTGGCCTGCTCCAAGAAAGAAATTTCACTGACATGTGGTCTGATCCAATAATGTTCTATTTTTAACAAAAGTAATGCAGCAATGTCATTTGCAATAATGAGAAATTGGAAACAGCAATAGGAAATTGGCTACATAATGGTACATTTATATACATAGAATACTATTTGGCAGTTAAAAAGAGAGAATAAACTCAGCCTTTCAAACAGAAGGAAATTCTGATCCATGCTACAACATGAATGAACCTTGAAGGTATTATTATGCCAAGTGAAATAAGAGGCACAAAAGGCAAATGCTGTATGATTCCACTTACATGAGGTGCCTAGAGCAGTCAAGTTCACAGGGACAGACAGTAGAATGGTGGTGCCAGTGCCTGCAGGCAGGAGGAACTTGGGAGTTATTATTTAATGGGCATGGAGTTTCAGTTTTGCAAGATGAAAAAGTCCTGGAGATCTGCTGCACAACAGTGTGAATATACTTAACACTACTGAACTGTGCACTTAAAAATGGTTAAGATGGTAAAGTTTATGTCATGACTCTTATCACAATTAAAAAAGAAGACATATGCTAACATGGCTAAATCTTTAAGATTCCTTGCTAAGTAGAAGTAAGTTACGAAATGCTATGTGTAATACTATTTTTATGGTTTTCAAAAAAGCAGAATAAATCGAGACTATATTATCTATGTTTCTATCAGTTCATACATATGTATGTGCACAGAAAAATGTCTTGAAAGGCATACACCAAACTGATAAAAATAATTAACTTTGGGAAGGGCCAGATGTGTGTGGGAGGGTGGTTAAAGGTGTTTTTAGCTGTCATTTTTGTTTAAAGGGGAGTATGTTCATGTAATGTTCATGTAATTAGAGACTAACAAAATATTCTCCTTCTAAAAATTCAAGTAAAACAAATGCTTCGGAAGACACAACATGCTTACTGTAGAGCTTTGCTCACCCCAGGACACAGTACCTGTGCCCTAGTTTAGAAGAAAAGCATCATACGTGACTGTTCAAACACCCCTGCTAGCAGCCTGAGTGCTAAGTTACAACTGGACTCAGCCATCCACATTTCTTCAAACCCATGAGATTCTCACGTGCCCCAGTTTATAAGGGGAAGCAGAACATCCTTCCAAGGAGGTGGAAAAAATTAAGAGTCCCAGAGTGAGCCACTGAGTTTTCCACAACTTGGTGCTTGATACCACTGATTAGGTGAAACAGACATTTGTAATGAAGTTGACAACCACAAAACATCTAATTACTACCTGCCAGCTGTTGTCCCAAGCTTGCCTGTAAGGGGCCAACAGATAATTGAGAACTGGCACGCAAGGAGTCTTGACAACAGAATTGTGAGTGGGAAAAGTAACTTGAACAAACTGATGTTCCCTCCAAGAAAGAAGTTCCCCTGAACACAAAATCTAGACTTCAAAGAGTTGGGAAAATGCTTATCAAAACACTTTTGGATAATTATTTCTGAGAGAACAAAGGATTCCACAGCTGTTATCCAAAAGATGGTGAGGAATAAATGAGCAATGTTTGCTCTAGCTTAGTTGTCACAGGCTTGGGTAAGAATACAAGGTACAGTAATGGTAATGATTCACATTTTCTTTCTCAAGCAAGTTCATACCAAGTATTTTCACTGGTCCACTAAAGAATTTGTTTACCCAAAATAGCAGGAAAGATGGTACAGAGTCAGTCGGTTATAGTGTTACCATCCACTCGACAAGTAGTCCCTCTGGGTCATCCATAGGCTCCTGTGCCTCTCTCTCCTCCCTGAGGGCTCAGGACACTTCCACAGAGAGGTGACCATGCCATCTCAAGAACCCTGACACACAGCACTGCTTCCCGTCAGCTACTTTATCATAAAATGAGGGTGAGCTCCATGTGGGCAGGGGCCTCATCTGTCCGCGGCCTGCCTGTCGCAAGGCACTCAAGATACTTTGTTAAACAGATGGTGTGCTATGAGGTGCCTTAACTTGAGCTGATAAAGAAACAAAGAACATTCATTAGCTGATGCACCAACTTAGGAGCAAGAGCTACACTTGACAACACTTGATTTCAGTGGAGTGCTGCAGGCCAGCACCTGTGCCCAAGTGCTGATGGTGCATAGCTCTTCCCTGCTCCATGTCTAGTGACATTGTTCTTTTTTTCTGTTCATCTGATGGCGAGTTTAAGGTACGGTGACATCATATTACTAGTTTTAAATTGGTAGTGGTTAGGGTATTTACAACACAGAAACTGGCAGATGCTACAAATCATTTACTAGTTGACTGTTCTATACTCCAATGGTGATTACTTTTTATGATTTTCTTCTATTTGATGGAGAGCCAGTCTCTGTTGGATTAACTGTTCTCTATTAACACTATTTTTAAGCATTACTACTATAACTTTACATCTCCAGGCCGGAGAAAGTTTTCTTGAGATCACAAAATGTGTTTCGGTAGGAAACGGTGTTAATAAGTTACTATGTTTCCCTGAAGAAGCAAATGAAATTACAGATACACACACATCTATCTTTTGATTGCTTCTTTTTCATAATTTTTTTGTGGTAAAATACACACCTGATGTTTTATTTATTCAACATATGTGTGCACGTGTCTGTATGTACGTAATAAAACCTCTAATGGAGGAAAAGAAGTTCTGTCTGGTTTACTACCAGCACTTGTCAGTTTTAGAACACACAGGTGTCTTTGGCTTGCTTCTGATTTAAAAACAAATGTTAATTTTTTCTCAATAAAGATTTCAGAAGGGTGGTGGCAATAAGTACCAGGATGTAAGAAGTAGTGACATTTAATATTCAAACTATATGGAACATAACCTAACCTTAGGTCATTAAGAAGGCATTTCAGAGTTTGCAATGGTTCCAAGACTCAGCAGTCCAGTGACTATGATGATCTTTGTCACGTTAGCCTACATACTGAACATGGATATTAAAGTATTTTCAATACCACTGGAATTTTAATTCATTCTACATGAATTCTACCAGTACATAAGTATGATATTACTCGTATCAGCTGTTCTTGACTTCACAGGGAAAATGAATTATAGGCATCTAAAAAACGGGGCCAATATTTTTTTTCTTAAGACAGGTCTCGCTGTGTTGCTCAGGCTGGAGTGCAGTGGCGTGATCATAGCTCACTGTGGTCTCAAACTACTGGGCTCAGGCGATCCTCCTACCTCAGTCTCCCAAGGAGCTGGAACGACAGCCATATGCCACTACACCTGGCTAATCTTTAAATTTTTTGTAGAGATAGGGTCTCACTATGTTGCCCAGGTTGGTCTTGAACTCCTGGCCTCAAGCAATCCTCCCTTCTTAGCCTCTCGAAGTGCTGGGATTATAGGCATGAGCCACTGTGCCTGGCCCAGGGCCAACTCTTTATCACTTCTTTTAAAAATGTAGTTATGTGT